GTCGCGGACCTGTGACGTTCGGGTGTGGACCTGAGACGTTCGGCTCGTGGACCTGAGACGTTCGACATTTTTTCGAGCTTTGACAAATGTTAACTACGCGTCATTCATGATTTTTTCTCTGCCGCTGCGACAGACGAGTAGAATATGAAGTTGACGTCGCGATCGACGCGACGGTCAAACCAAACTCTTTTTTTCTTTGTTTCTTTCTGTTACGACGCGTGCCGTAACAGAATTTGGTTTTGCCGTCGGCGTCTACAACGTTGTTAGAATTAAGCGTTGAAAAGTGAGACGCAGGTTTTTTTTAATTTGGTCAAAATTATTTTCAAGAAAATTTGAAACTGCGAAATTCTGATCTACCAAACCTGATCTACTGAGAGCATTGTTAACAATTTGAACAGATTGTAGAAATTTCGAATACAAATATTTTAATTAACCCATCTTATGAGCACGACGGCCTTATCAACATGAGCAAATCAACAAAACTAAAAAGGTTCTGTGGAAAAAAGAACACACAGCAAAAAAATGTTAATATGTATACATTTTTATAAGAAAACAATAAATAAAAGAAATTTAATATTTTAAAACAGAATTTGCCAATGCCTTTTTCATCAAAATAGCCAGAGTTTTTAGTTAAATACTTATTAGGGCCTTACTTTATAAGGGAAATTCATCGCTTATTAAGGCCTTAATTTATTAGGGAAATTCATCGCTTATTAAGGCCTTAATTTATTAGGGAAATTCATCGCTTATTAAGGCCTTACTTTCAGTTAGTTCTCGCTTACTATGTCATCGATTATATTCCTAGGACATCCCTGTGTTAAGCATAGTATCCAGCACCGTGGAATCGAAAAATTCCTGTCAAACTCTATACAAAAAAAACTGTGGCAGGAATTTTTGTTTACGTTTTCCTGGAGTGTGTATCCAGCAACACGAGCGGAATCCACAGATTTATATCGATAGTTGCCTTATCGGGACCGTATGTGGAATGAGAGAACAGCTGACACCTAGCTCAGGAATATATGTTCAACAATTATTCCTGATGTGAATGGTGCAAGATGTAGGCAAAAACTGTTCGCAAAACCAAAAAGAGAGAAGAAAATTATTCTTTTTTGTTTTGCAACAATATATGCCGCCACCAACACAATGGGAGCGTTCACCAGGACAACTTGATCAGCGATGAGTGATTGATATCTTCAGTAATGTTTTGAGTTCTGGTGAACGCGTATGATCCATACCTTACTATTGCTACGTCGCCAATACAATCGGCTCAGAAACTAACGATATTTACTTCGAAGATTCAGAGAAACAGTTTGTCTTCACGGTGGTCGGCTCGGGAGCCGTCGCCATCTGCTGCTGCTGATAGTCAGACACATTACCTTGCCAATAAAATATTGGGGAGCCCAGGATATGCCTGGGGAAGAGCGGCCCCAGCCGACATCTGTTTGCTAGCAAACAGTTTTTCGATCTGAGTACTAGGCTTAAAACTGAAATATTAAGCTAATTTCATGATATTTTATTAATTTGGCTTTGTTTATTTCTTTTTCTTTGCGAATAAAAGCGTATTCTAATCGATATGTCAGCTATCGATATAAGCCAAAACCAATCCATCATACACGAGACCAATGGATCGTACTATTTTCACGATCCATTTCTCAAAATCTGATCCATGAATTCCATGAAATCATGTGCGTTTACCAACATTACTTGAAGAAATCCATCACTGATCGCTGATCAAGTTGTCCTGGTGAATGCCCCCATTGTCTTTGGCTGTATCGACTCGGCTATTGATGCTGATCAAGTATATACATATATGTATATATATAAAAAACCATATCTAACAGAGAAATAATTTTTGGACCTTAATTCTTTATAATTCGCGATATATCGACTTTTTTTTGTTTTGTTTTTGAGCATCGCACAGTGGGCGCACTTGTATGGAAGAAGGCGACAAAAATAGTTATACTTTACATACAGGTCTATAATGTTCACACCACGCTTTTGAATTACCAGAATACTATTTTGAAAATTATTTATAACTATTTATAAGCCCATACGTCCTTCACAAGCCATTTATATATTTAATAAAAAAACGAGTATATTATTCCTTAAATACTACAGGAGAAAAAATAGTTAAAGGTATATTTATTGTTCAAATAAAACAAAAACAGACTCTGTTAGTAAAGTTTTCTTTTTACATGGTCATTTTCTTAATCCACTTATGAGAGGGTCCGAACTAAGAAACAATCTTTTGATAAGGTCAGTATTTGTTGTGACCCGCGAAATTTTCCTAGTGGTGAAATCTTTATCTTTTCAAATCCTTATTTTTAGCTTCAGCAGCTTCCTCTGACAGCTCTCCGATTGAGACTAATGCTCGATTAATAACTTCAGGACCATGAATTAATATTTTATGCACTGAAGCTGGCAAGTAATACCACGGTTATGTTTCCACTAGACCTCTTGCTGTCTCTAGCGCAAAATTTCGAAATTTATCTAAATTAATTTTATAGCCAGAATTTAAAGCCTGCAAAATGGTGGCGCATCTGTCGATTAGTTTATTATCAAGGCCTTTAATACTTGCAGTTAAGCTAGAGTTTTTAAAAAATCGACGTGCCGTGTTTCCATCGTTTGATGATCCACTACCGCCAAACTTCGGTCTGTCTACTATCAATCCCATTTTTTGGCGAAACTCAGCTTGGATCCTTCGTTTTCGTATCAAAAGATTGGTTTTATCGGTGGGAGATTTGACTTGCCACGATTTTATATTCAAACGATGGGATACGTGAAGGAAATACTCAAAAAATCGTATGTACGCTTGTAGCGGTGATAAACAAAATTCATACCGATTTTGGTGAACTTTTTTGTTGAGACAGCTACATTCAAATTTTCAGAATTTTTCAATACGTTGAAGCTCTCTTGTCTTGAGCCAAACCGAATGCCTTTGCAGAACTGCCTTCTCCGTACGGTTGCAGTTTTGCCACAGTTTGCATTTTTTTTTACAAACAGCATCGGCACAAGCTAATAATTTTCCTTGGTCTGGAACATATCCTCTAGTTTCCATTTCCAGCTGTATTAAATCTACAACTAATCGAACTTTTCCCGCATTTCTGCATTTTTGAGAGCACCACGCATAAAAAAAAAAACCTGTGCAGGATTTTACATTGAAAAGAAAATCCTATACCAGTTTAAACGAAGAAAGAAATAATGTAAATTATAAATTTGACATTAAAACAAATATAAACAATAACAAACACATAAAAGAGCAATTACTACAAAAAAACAAAAATACCACACACATATACCAGTTGCACTCCGATCGACATATTGTACCGAAAAGGCGGCTAAAGGCAGATAGTTCTGGTTTTATTTTGATCTTAAGATATGCATCTATGATCAAATCAAATATGAACCTGGGTATCGGTGCGGAATACAACTAAAAGCTTAAGAGAAGTTATAACTGGAAATCGAAAAACATTTTCGATTTTTTGACGACACAAAACAATCTACAAATAGTTGGTTGGTTTTAATTAAGCTTTATACCTGTATGAACGATATCCATATTACCAAGTTATTGGCGTTTATTTTAAATACGTTTTTTAAGTTAAAAGATGGGTTTTTCGTTCTGAAAAATCAAAACACATTAACTGCCGACCACGTGGCTTAACCTTAAGGGGTATTTTTTGCAAACAGCGAATGGTCATACTAAAAAGAAATTGAAAAATTTCGATTTCGGTTTTTATACCCGTACATTAGATTTGTGGTAAAAGTGGATGTATGTAACGCAGAGACCCCATAAAGTATATATATTCTTGATCAGCATCAATAGCCGAGTCGATATAGCCATGTCTGTCTGTCTGTCTGTCTGTCTCGATGAGCGCCTAGATCTCAGAGACTATAAGAGCTAAAGAAACCAAATTTGGTTTCCACACTCATGTGATATCACACTGCTACAAGTGTATTTCGAAATTTCGCCCGCCCCCTTCCGCCTCCATAAAGAACGAAAATCTGTGGCAGGCACAATTTTAAATATACAATAAAACTAAAAACGCAGTATAGTAGAGAATGCCCATATCTATCAGATTACCGAATCTGAATCAGATAGATCACATCCACTTTTACCACAAATCTAATATACCCCTAAACTCTTTTTTGAGTACGGGAATAAAAAATTGCAAGGGTGGGTAGGCAGCGTGTCCAAATGGAGCTGCCCAGGAGGAACAAGCGTGTGGCAATGCTTTCGCTCTTATGAGTTCGACCACACAAAAAATAAGCAAATAACAGGATATACGTTAAGGCTGAACCATTGGCTATGATCTATAATACTGAATAGTGCTAGGCTGGGAGACCGAACAACCGTCAACTTTCAGTTTCATTGAAACACTAAGCTTAATGGGGATAATAGGAAATATTTTTTGTTAATTTTCTTTCCCTGTCTACATCTGTGTGATCATACATATATGTACACACATACACACTTGATCATAATAATAGGTACGTACACACATCTAGGTATAGGTTAACATAACAGAAAACAGTTTTATTAAATATTCTAAACTTAAAATTTGTTCTCACTTATTTTGTAAGTATTTGTTTTCAATAAAATAAACTTTATTATAGTATACGATAATTTTATACAAGAAAATAGTTCCATTTGTCAATGTCAAGCTGATCAAAATAATAGGTACACTTAAAGTGTTGTTATGAAAAAATGTGTTAAGGTATTATTTAATTCTTTTTATTTTGCCTAATTAGTATGTTCTATTTAATATCCAGTGTACCTGTCGCCAATCGCGTTTGGCGTTTTGGGTCGTAACTTATCTTAGATTTGTTTGTTGTTAACACACCAACAAAACTGTTTATTATAATCATTTATTCTTAATGCAGATTGAGAAAGATTTGTTTTTGTTTATTCACTGTTCACTTCGACTGGGGCTAGGGTTCAATTCCGACTCGATCTTTGAAATTATTTGATTTATTTGCCTCAAATGTCAAATATTGTTTAAAATTCATTTCGTTTCGACTTTAAGCATATTCCGGCATAATGGAAGCTATGGAAGAACATCTCTGTGAGATAAAAGAGTTAGTTAACCACTTACAAGCTGCTTCCATGCCAAGTGAAATGTGCTTAGAACGGAACTCCACTCTGAACGATTCCCCCCCTATGCTCTGTATGGGGAAACTAATTATATTGATCAGACTAATGGCCGACCGATTTCGTGAAAGGTGTCATCACTGCAACCAAGTGGTCGACATTTCCAGAATTTTAGCAAAATGTATGTGCTCACCGAAATGTTTTCAATCTCCTTTGAAACCTTTTCTCTGTAGGCACCGGACAAATTAAGAGACTTTATCTGACACTTCCGTGCGGTCAGTTGGAAATGCAGTTGAATAAGGTTGTGAAACCAAGTTTTATACTTGCACTTAGTGCTATATTTTCAGAGCTGGAGGGCGTCGTCAAAGATCATTTCATGTCAGCCCCCATTGAACCAAAATACGGTGAAAAGCAAAAGGCCGACGAAAACAATGAGCACTCAGCCGTTCGCGATAATTTGGCTGGCACAGCTAAAAAGCCGGCTTTTCACAAACTAAATTCAGATGAACTTAATCTCTGGAAACCGTGTCCAACAAACGAGCTTGGCCGAGTGACGGCCAAGTTAAGAAATTTTGAAGTGAAAATGGAACTAGAACAGGTTGACCATAAGCTAATGCTCCTGAAGGAACATACATTGACCCGAAAAGCGCTTCTTTTTCAGCATGCGGCCGAAATGAAGTTTAAAAAGCAGCAGAATCTAGTTTTGGAGCTAAGCAGTGGTCTGTCAGAAGAAAAACTAAAATTACAAGCTGCACTCAAAGAGAACTCTAGACTACTGGAAATACAACAGAAATGTGGCCAACCATCCTGTCAAAAGCAAAAGGCAGCAGTAAATAAAATGGGCAATGCTCCTCCAAAGAACTTAACGGGTACCGAGTCGCGTCCATCTCTCATAAACAAGCCAACTGTAGAGGAGGGCTACTCAGGAACAACGTTTGGCCAGCGGCGCCAAAAACTGCTGCGCTGGTGTCAAGAGAAAACTAAGCCCTATGGCTTACCCATGTATGAGTTCTCCACATCCTGGCAGAGCGGACATGCACTTTGTGCGATCATTCATTCCTACCGCCCAAAACTGATTGACACCAAGTACCTTAAATTTAAGAATCGGCAGGAGACGTTGGAGTATGGCGTAATGGTCGCTCAATCACTGGGAGCTCGAAATAATAATGATTTCGTGTCTTTGTGTCTGCAGAAACTACCCGAAAATAGGAAGGTTTTCAAATTCGTAGCGGAGTTATACAACTGCCTGGAGAGTCTGCCCAGGTTCGCCGACACAACAGCCAAAAGTGAAAGCAGGATCCAGGATTATTGATGATCAAAAATTAAAAAAAATAAAAACTCAGGTCGTCGTTGTAGGAGAATGAGAATATTGAGACCATTATGAAAAGTTATCAGAGGCTTCGACCCTTCGAGAGCGGGCTTTTCCAACCATAGACCACAATCGGTAATTTTTCGAGACATAATTTAATTTAATTTAATTCATTTCATCATTAGGGTTTTCGAAATTGTTTGCTCATTAAGAGCAGCACAGGAATAACTAGAGACCATTTATAGCGTCAACATTTGTTCACTTTAAAATATACATGTGTAAATATATTTCAGCAGCAGAGAGAGCATTTCGTTTTAAGGATCCGATTCCGAATGAATGAAGGAGTTGGCCCAGTAGGTCATGATGGCGTAGATTACCTTTTGATCGGCACGTGGCCCCACCAGAGGATTCATTTGCATTAGAAAAGTGACCAGCCAGACGAGATAGCAGCAGGCAGCTGTTAGTACGACGCAGCATCGGATGATTCCTCTGTCCTCGTATCGCATGGCCACCAACCACCCGCCCACGGCAAAGAGCAGCCAGAAAGCGGTAAAGACCGATAATACAATATATTTATCCATTCCGTAGATTCTGCCAAGATATGCTTCCCAGTTCTGACAAGTTTCTCCATCGCCCCGACAGGAGCTGCCTACACTACTACTACTCTCTGCTCAGGCTTATTCTCTGTACAATCCCAATTCGGGTGGTGCCTGCACTCATAAACTTTTATGATTGCGAACATTTCGATATTTTATGGCAGCCAGTGGATGCGATGCTGCATGCGCAGTGGAGCGCAAAGGTAGTAAAAGAAAACTGTATACATTTTCCGAGTGCTGGCATCAATGGAGCAACCCATAAAACTGCTGCACGCATCCTGACTAAGCGCAAAATCCGTTTTAGGAGAGCTGATGGCTCTACATCCCCAGGCATGTGGCTGATGGGGTGGCTGTGCTGCGCCTCCTCCTCTACCCTATCAAAGCCGGAGCTCGAGCCCTGATGATGCCATAAGTGCTCAGGCGCGACTCATAAAATGGCGGCAATGGCATTGCAATGGGGTATAGGGGCACGGGCACGCAGCGCCTGTAATCGAGTTTTCCCAAAGTAGCAATAAATGTTAATGGCGACATCGAATTTTCCATTTTCTCACAATAAGTATCTAGACGTCCGGTGCCAAGCCGCCCTGCCAGCGGCTATTTCGCGGTGGTGGAGTGCTTGAAGGAGGCCATCTTTAATTCCATTATAGATCTGACCGCAACGGGAACGACGGCTGTGCCAAATCCGTTTACCTTTTAGAAAACAGTAGCAATAGTTAGCTGCTGGACATCCAAACTTCACACCTCGAACTCAACCAGAAACGTAAAACTACGACTACGAAACTACGAAGGCTGTTGCTCTTTCCAGTGTCAGATCGATTGCAGATCGTAAATCACGCCCAGAGGTTTTCTCACTCGCAAGCAAATGCAAATCAAGCAAAATGTGTGATTTCCCCTTTAAACAGTGTCGGCACTTAAGAAGACCCAGACCCGGGCCCAAGCAGACCCAATTCTGGGACACCGCTCTATCTGTTCCGGTGTCTTCAAGTTTCTTTGACAACAGACCGTCAAAATATTTGGACTCCTCGCAGCCTTTTAGAAGCGTGATTGAGAAAAAGACGAGAATAATGTTTCCAGGTAGCACTGCGGGCTGTTCCAACACTTTTATTATTCAGCAAATTCCCGAAAATATGCGGATATAAACCACATATTCATTCGAGTAATTTATTCAACTCACATTTTCCATCTAATTAATAAAATGTAAGTATATTTTTGTACCATTTGAAGCATAAATGGCAGCACCGATATAGCAAATTTTTTCTGCTAAAATAAGGCTATTTAAATACCTAGTCCTTTGAGCTGTAGTATGTCCATCTGATACTGTGCAAACAAACGTTTTAATTTGTGCAAATATGAGGCTCAGATCTAAAAGTAAAGTCTTTTATTATACCCGTACTCAAAAAAGAGTTAAGGGGTATATTAGATTTGTGGTAAAAGTGGATGTGTGTAACGCAGAGAAGGAAACGTTTCCGACCCCATAAAGTATATATATTCTTGATCAGCATCAATAGCCGAGTCGATATAGCCATGTCTGTCTGTCCGTCTGTCTGTCTGTCCGTCTGTCTGTCTGTCTGTCCGTCTTGTTGAGCGCCTAGATCTCAGAGACTATAAGAGCTAGGGCAACCAAATTTGGTTTCCAGACTCATGTGATATCACACTGCTACAAGTGTATTTCAAAATTTCGCCCCGCCCCCTTCCGCCCCCACAAAGAACGAAAATCTGCGGCAGGCACATTTTTAAAGATACGATAAAACTAAAAACGCAGTATCGTAGAGAATGCCCATATCTACCAGACTGCTGAATCTGAATCAGATCGGATCATAATTATAGCCAGAATGACGAAATTAATTTTCAGTTGCTTCCCCTGCCCCCTCCAGCCAACGACAACACAACTCATTTTCCATCTCGCTCGCACACTCTGCCGCGTTCAGGGCGCGAGCAACCCCTAGCGGAGAAGATGTAGAATCTAAATGGTACATGTATAATCTACATGTTAGATGTAAAATATACATAGTATATGTAGATAACAGATGTAGCAAAAAAAAGTAAAATGTAAAATTTTTTTTTAATGCTAAAATTCTAAAAAATCATTTGTTCAAAAATGTAAATACTGACTGAGTACGGGTATAAGTAGAGTCGCGTCTTTAGAAGCGACTCACACGTTCCTTCTCGTTTTTAATTTGTATTTATGTACTTATATTTAAAAAAAATTCAAAAGTCAAAAGTGTTGGTACATGTTTTACCATTTACCACTTAGCGAACAAATCTCCCAAATACGAGAACATTCCCATAATGTTGAAAGTTTCATAAGAGAGCTGTAGCTAGGACAACGGAACAGCTTATATTTATGGTAATGAACGTATATATATGTACATATAAGATCCTAGATCTTAAACGGCTGAGGCCGATTGGTTGATGATGTTTGGATTTTCATTTTCCCACCATGCATGCCGTTGCAGCATCACAGAAACACCGTAGCAAAGTTCGTTTCAATTGCATTTATTAACTCAGACAATGATATAAAGTGAATATTAAGCATTTTCTGTAGTCTTGAATGCAGTAAGGAAGTCGCCAGTACTTTAATAACTCAAAGAGATGTCAACGACATTGAGACAGAAAACATACCAACTGATAAAAGAAAACAGACGAATATTGTACATGCATATACACGTATGTACTTGTAAGTATTTATTTACATATTCATACATATGTATATATTTTTCCCCTCCAGCTTGGTTGGACACAGTGGCCGCATCTAGTTTTCGTTGCACCTTACAAGAACAATTTGGCTATGTCAAACGACTCTAGCACGCGTTGTTTGTCCAGTCACTTAGCAGGCCTAGCACTATTTAAGGAAGTGCCCTGAAACACAAAGCTTGCAACACAATTCACAGGTAAATATCTGGGGAGCTGTCTCTTCCTCTTTAGACTGTGGTGATGGCGCTGTGTCCGGTACTCATTACCTTCCCCCGCTTTCCCACCATGCAGCTTGTAGAATTCCCAGTGGAGTCAAAACGTGTTGGGAGCAAACACAAGCACTGGCACCCGGCCCTTGTTGTCTTAACTACAGATCCATAATAAGTTGACTGACCTGGACCGCCGCAGAATTCCATAGGCTTGAATTTTACAGAATTTTGTTTGAAACTTTCCTGAACTTTCAGTTTCAAGAACTTATTCAGTACGAAAGCTTAACGTAAGTCTTGACTGTTATTGTCCCAATATCTGATTATTTATTGCTGGCCAAGTAAATTAAATTTGTCTGGCTTCTGAGCTTTATTTGCGACAGTAAAGGTTCTCAGCTTTCATTTAAAATATTCTTGCAAGATTGCTTTAAAAAAATAATTATGTACGAGTAAGTGTGTTCTCGGATATTTGGGATATATTTATATTATATATATTTGGGATATATTTATTACCAAAAATGTAAAAACTGAGCTAAAAGTTTCTGGATGGTCAAGAGTATTTAATGATTAGGCTTGGTAGTGTTACTTATTAGAATTTAAAATATGTTGTCGACTTTATAATAAAAGATCTGTGAAGAGTTGCAGACAGATATACATACATACATGTGTAGGAACATGACTATACTATACCCTTATGCTAGGATATATTTACAGCTTGATTCCTTTGTATATTTTCCATTTTACATTGAGAACTTTCGTTTTCGTTAGAGATAAAACTGAATTCGGCAGTTCCCCTCTTGTCTGGACAGCATTTACGATTTTTAATGATCCGTATATCATACTGAGCAGTAAATAAGGCCAAAAGTTATATGGGCATCCACCCCAAAAACCTGAGTTTGCGCACAATAAAATTCATCCATCGATTGCGATTGATTTTAGACAGGGACGAACACGGAGCGTTGCGTGTGGCCAGGGGCTAGAGAGAGCCAGAGCGGGCCACTAACAGTAACTGGCACTGCAATTCCGTTCCATCTTGACTGAAACGAGCAGTGCGCAGATACAGATACAGATGGGTTCACTGTGGGGGCGTCATTGGTCGGTGGTTGATTTCTGCGTCACTGCGCGTCGAAGTATCCGCAACCCCCTCTGCCAAGCACGCACTAACACATACACATACACATACACATGTACGAGTATTCGGTACCCGAAATCGAAGAATATCAAATTTGTCAGGGTCTGAGGGTGTGGGTTGCGTGTGTTGAGGGTGAGAGTGAGACATGTAAAGATATATATCCGTCATATATCTAAGCAGTATGTCCATTGAAACCCCTCCCCCGTCCCTCCGTTCCACACGACGCGTCGGCTTATTTATTTGTTTATCTACTATTTATGATTCCCGAGACCCCGACCAAAGACGAGACTGTGCGCTATATCTTCCTGGTGCGCTGACTTTTGTCGCACATGCTCAGGGTTCGGTTCTCTCCCCGTTCGTCACGCTGATACTGCTCCGCTCCTGTCCTATTGGCATTGCTGTCGCCCTAGCTCTGGTGACGTGCCTCTTGGCGTCGGCGTCGTAAGCCGTGTGGTTCATGCTCATGTTGCAGAGCGCGAGAGTGGAGTGGCGGCCCTTGTGACTGCGATTCCTGGAAACTAACAGCGATTCACAGACAGCGGTGAACTCGCACATCATTCAGTCGATGACGTTCCGCACCATAGCTCCAACTCCACTGGCTCAAATACTAGGCC